TTCAATAAATATTAAAAATATATATATATAAATTTGTATAAAATATTAAATTATTTATTCGAAATGATTTATAACTCGGATAGATCAAGGATAATTTCAAAGCATTATAATATCAGTTATAAAATCGAATCATGTTTATAATATTCAATGTTTAATTTTAAATTATTATCGCGAGGCGTTTTATAAATGGAATAAATCTATTGACAAACTTTTTTATAACTCACCTTACGAAGAGTTGCTCCTGATTGTTAACTCGCCAAGAAACTACGGTTGCACCTATGAAAAATAGAAGGAAATATGATAATCTTCATATTTAATCGTTTCATTTGAAATCCGCGCGAACGCGTACCCGCCATTTTTCAAATTCGACGTTAACTTAGGCGCGCCACTTTTTGAAAGCACGAAAAACACTCGGTTCAATTTTTTTATTCTTCTCGAATTAAAAATCATATTGATATCTTAATTGTTGTATCTATTAAAAAAAGAATAAAGTAAAATCTTATTTTGCTAGTCAAAGTTAATGAATATTACAGTGAATCGATAGATTTTTATCGATTATACGGTCACATAATCGTCAATATGTAATATATAGGAATTAGCGTTTCAAACTTCATGTCGCTAGTTACACGAGAATACAAAAAAACGAAGAAAATAAATATATCTTAATGTGAGATCATTTTAAACTAAAAAAAAAAAAGATAATCTTCACGTCACGTAATTGCGTACTCTCACATTTTACATGTAATATTTAGAAAATTATTAGCAATTTATTTTCCGTATTTATCGCACTATGCTCGTAATATTTGTTTATTTCACGAGAAGGAGAGAGAAAAATCTCCTTCCATTCCGATTCACCGAAACGTTTTGCACGTTAGTCGTTGAAATCGTACAATGATCGTCCTTTTTACGATCGTATTCTTCCTGTTTCAATGGCTTATTTATTATCACCGGTTATTTATTATATATATCTCTCTTTCTTTATTTTTCTCTCTCTCTCTCTCTCTCTCTCTCTCTATCTCTTTATTTTTTTACGTATGTACTCGCGAATAACGCACCGTGTAGATTGATCGTGCAGGTGGTATTGTTGCCCCTGTCCAGGACGACAACGCTGGTAGCCGCTGCCATGTTTGAATCGTGAATGCGCCTCTCGAAACGACCAACCTTTGTTCAATGTCCCCCGGGCTGAATTCTCCCACCACCGCGATTTACTTTTTACCCCCACCACTCCCAGTCAATTACCGTCCCAGCGGCCTTTCCCTTTGATCGACGCTAACGCCACCGTAATTTACTGCAACACCTCGTCGCGGACGGATCGATGAGTTAAAATTTGGTGTTATTTTGTCAATACTTTTTTACCGACAGTCTTATATCGTATATCGGTAAAGTAGAAAATTCATTTACGAACGATCCGTACTATTTCACAAAGTAATCGTTCGGTCGATAAATCAAATCTTGTTATTATATCTATTAAAACAATAGCGCGCGTAGTCATTTTACCTAATCAATTGGTGTAATATAAGAGTGTTGATTATTAAAAAAACAAAAAATAATCGAGATTTATATATCTGCTGTAAGTAATCAGAAATTAGTAACGAATGAAGAAATTGTAGCAGCGCATGCTCCAGGACAGACACGACAACGTTGTAAGCGCACTCGAGACTACGAATGTGGCAACGTTGGTGTGGTTGCTCGAACGAAGTGCAAAACTAAGAGAAAGAGAGAGGGAGAAATATATAATCCAGAGTGTGTAAAGTGGTGGTGGTAGTGGTGGAACGGTAGTAGAACCGAAATCGGGGAAGCTTTGTGTGTTCCGCCGTGACGGTGGTGATGCGTCGTCGTCTATGTCTATGTCTATGTTGTTTGCCGTCGTGCGCCGTGTCAGCTCTCAACGAGGGTCACGGGATAAGAAAAGTAGTATAGTAGTAGGAGCTAAGCACGCCGGTGACCGTAAACGTCACCGTCTGCGCCAAAACCGCTAAGACGGTACGTGCCTAATCAAACAGGGCAGTGTGTGGTGCTGTGTGGTAAGGGATGACGACGGCCGGGGGGATGATAATAGGGGTGCCGACTTGAGGACAGAAATGTTGAAGTTCGGTAGCAAGAGCGACGTTACCGTGGTGCACCGCGCCACTATTCGACTTTTGGACGATTCCGAGATTATCCATTGCGACTTTGAGGTCAGTTTATTTATCAATTCCTTTCTTCTTTCTTACCATTCGTATAAACTTTATTCCTCTTTTTATTATTTATATATTTATTTAGTCTCTTTTTTATTATAATATTATTTTTATCTTTATAAGTATGCAATACTTTTTGTATGTAAGTATACCGTCTCCATGCGTAGAGTGATTATACCACATTGCATTTTCCCTCTCTCTTTTTATTTATTTATTTATTCTAACTAACGTGGAATAAAATAGTAGATACGTTTTACATAATCATATTGTATCTTAATGGTCGATCCAAATTTAGGAAATATTATTTCTTCACTCGTTAAAAAGACTCGTAAGCACAAACAAGGGTATGAAAAGCAACGATGACATTTCTGACCCATATACATACATATGTATATGTCCACCTCGAGGGTGGTGATCCGAAATAATCGATCGCTTTAATCCCTCTTCAACTTTTTTTTCCTCTCTCTCTAACTCTCTCCCACTTGAAAATATTCTAAGCTAACCGAGGATAACTTTATTCTCTCTCTCTCGTATCCTTTTCGCATAGAAGCACTCGGGCTTTGACTCCTCTAACCGATCAATACGAATCTAAACAAAATCAACATCCTTATACCCACGTTGTCTTTATCTCTCTCTCTCTCTCTCTTTTTTATTTTCTTTATTTTATGTTACTTACCCAGGGTCACGCTTGTCAGTCATGTTGAGAAGATCCTTTCCAGTTTTCTTCCCCAATTTTCTGCCTCATTTGTACTTCTTGTAAGTAGTCTTTCTCTCTCTCTCTCTCTCTCTCTCTCTCTCTCCCCCTCTCTCTCTCTTTTTCTATCTCTCTTCGCAGTGGAACAGAATCGGCGCGCTTGAATCGATTCCAGAATAGTGTGAGAAAGAGAGATAGAGAAGCACTGGCAGTGGCAGGGGGTGGTAGAGGAGAAAGGAGGCGGAGAAAGGAGGTGGAGAAAGGAGGTGGAGAAAGGAGGTTTTGTCTGTCAAAAAAGCAAGGAGATGCGTTCGCGACTAAAACGTGTGCCGATTACTACGAGCACACGACTTTGACATTTCCACGTTGCGCGTGTTCAACAAAACGTCGATCCTATCCTACCAACGATAGACTTTATGTTATACGTTACATGTATCTATGTGTTTCTATGTGTATATGGTGATTCATTCACAATAATATAACTTCTAATATATTTAATATTCCATTTTTTTTTAATATATTTTTTTTTCTCCTCTTAATTTTACAAATATATGAAGATTTATTATTTTTTCTTTTTAAAGAAACGCGTCAATTGTATTTTATGAATTCGTTCAATTAATTCAAAATTTTGTGTTCTAATGATCAAATTTGTATGTGTATTTTGAATTGTGCGAATTTATAATCGATTATTATACGACGTTCTCAATAAAATGAGATTATTTTTTTTTGTATTTTTTACCTGCAAGAAGTTTGTACATTTAATCAATACGTTTGTTTTTCTTTTACTTTATTAAGAAAAGATTTTTGTTTTACCTTTTATTAGTTCGCGTAATGCGTTTTGATTTTATTTTAAGAAAGTGAAAACTTCGTTTATCATTTTTTTAAATTATTAGTTTTAAAAATAAAACCTAAACAAAAAACGTTTAATTTTGAGATCGTTAAATTGCGAATGAAAATAGGTTTTTTTTTTTCTGGTGTTAGTTTCTTCTTTTACCAAATCGTCAAATAAGTAAGATACGTATTTGTATAATAAATTGATTGTCTGCGATTTCTCGTTGTTCGAATTTCGAGGTAATCTTTCAAAGTCTCTTCTTATTTCTTATTTAGATTTGATCGTTTATAACACGTATTTTTTGTATTTACGAGACATTTTCACGATAGAACGTTACTATTTATTCCTTGTTTGGAAATAATTTGTATTCTTTTCAACAACGAAACTTACGTAGCACTCGTGTTCGGCATTTTCTATCAACAATCATAATAATTATTCATAAATCTCAATGTTCTTCAATTCTTTATTTGTAATCATTTATATCTATTACTTTTTTGTCGTTTAAATTATAAATATTCAGAGTTTTATTTAATTTTTCTTTTTTTTCTTTTCATTTACATACAAATTATACATATATTACGCTTATAAATATTTATTATCATATGTTTTATTGTAAACATTTTTAGAATTCATTTTTCCATCCTTTCGATATATTTCTTTTAACATTATTATTATTATTATTATTATATTGTCAGAATGTCGTGTAATTTTTCTATTTTTTAATACAATTGAAGGTAAGCTTGCTTAAAGAAATATTTTTGGTAGTGTGTTAAGAACACTTAAAGATGTTACACACACACACACACACACATACTAGAGCGTTGATTATGATTGTAATTATCTTAATTGAAGCGTGACATGAAGAAAACATAAATATACACATACACACGTATATAAACCGAGCAGACAGATATGTATATGTATTTATACCTATACTAATATCTAATATTACGAATTCATACACACATATTGCGTGTAAATCCGTGTACGACCCTTTTCCTATTTCAAGCACTGACGTAATAATCCATCGAGATAGATGATGGGATTTTTTTATAGTGTTACCATGCGATTTAATGTAATGAATGATACCATCAGACTAGATTTCCTACTCCTATTATAGTTTATTGCGAATTTACTCAAATACCTTCTGACAATTCTTATCGTAGATCTTTCAATATTCATTTGAATGAAATATCGTTTAATCGATATCAAATATTATATAGAAATGTTATTAATGTTTTTATACAAACATCAAAAAGAATAGTTTATTATTTTTTTTATTTATTCGTAATTTTCATACACATTCAGTAATTTTTTATTTTTATTTGTTTTTTTTGGTCTGAAATTATTTAGAAAAAAAATATAATCAAATAAATATTGTATCATTGAAAGAAACTAAATATCATCTATTAATTATTCTAATCATCAAATAATCAGATTAGATATTAAACTTTAAATTTTATTAACTAAACTTTTATTAATAATTATATTGAATTTTTATAATTGATTTTTCATAATACATTCGAGTCAAATAAACGAATATTTTAATGTTAAAACATCTACCTTATTTCTACTTATTTATTTTCTAAATTTTCATTAGTCATTTTTGTTTCTACTAAAAAGCAAAAGTTTATTGCTTTTCATTATTTCACAAAAACTCGACACAATCGTATAATTAAAGTATAATAAATCATATAGGATTAGGTAATAAACAAATAAAAAAAAGCCAAAAAGAAATGACAAAAGAACGATTTTATCTAGCGGTTAACGTTCTACACACAATTCATTAATTTCTATTCAAAAAATATCTGCTTTGTTTCTATGTATGTGTATATGTATTGGATTAGTAGTAGATCGTTCGTAACGTTGGTAAATTACGTCACGATTCGCCAATCCCATGAATGACGTAACGTACGAGCATCTGACAAGAATTAGCACGCTACATGTTAATGCAAATAGGCAAATAAAAGAATGAAAAAAAAATGATATGTTTAGAAACAGTTTGGAGGAAAAATTTGGTGACTTTTCTTCGATTTTAAAATCGATTCTCCAAATTCTAATAAACCTCTTTGCACTATAATCTAATTTTCTAATTTCTACTTTATATAACGTATACTATTTTATGCGTGTGTGTGTGGGTTGCGTATGATTTCGTTGCGTATGATGATCGTTCGTTTGATTTGAATGTTTGTTAAGTCATTTCTGAAGATTCGTTGTAGTCTTTAGTTATTGGTTGAAATAAAAGTAGGTGTGTATACCTTTTTGATCGAGTTCTAGTATTTCTTAATCTCTCTCTCTCTCTCTCTCTCTCTCTCTCTCTCTCTCTCATGTTAAATTTTATAAAATTGGTTACTGGATATACGATTACTTCAGTATACACATTTATATTCGCACGCAAAAAGAGTACTCGATGAGAGATCTGAGAAAATTGTGTCCCCGTATACGTGTGAGAAGCCTGCATTCATAAAATGCAGTATGTGACGAAAAAACTTATGTTTCGTGTGCCTATACGACAAATATCATCTTGAAAAATGTATCATTTCGGCATGCTAAAAATGTATTTTTCTTATTTATTGTATACTATTTCATTTATAATTCGTAACTTTATTACTTGTGTGAGTGGTGCGTAATAATGTTAATTTCTTAATCAAATTTATATCGTTAGTAAAAAATAAATTCAGACTTCCTATAATACAAATGCATTTGTATCAGAAAATAAGTAATAAATTTCATTTAAAAAAACAAACTTGACCTTTAAATCTTAGAAGTGACTACACCTAGCAAAAAAAATTGACGTCATGTTATACTACCGAATTTTTAATGCAACTTTAGTTCAATAAACTTTTCTGCTACTATCATGAAGTATACGTATTTGGCGTTACACTCTTGTTAAATAATTTTCTTATATTATGCAATTTTTGTTGTCCTATCTACGAGATAAAAGTGAAGAAACCTGATATTAAAAGGGCTTTTAATTTGATTAAGTCCTGTTTACGTTGCACGTTCACGTTAATGTTTAAGAACGTGCGTTTTAATGTGATCAACCATCCCCCTCCTCCCCACCTCTCAACCACGTTTCCTTTTCCTTTGATTTTAAAATCTTGAAAATAGTTGCACCAGCACGTAGACCCTGCATCTGTTATTCTTTATTGTCGGTCCTTGGAATAAAATATTGCATTATTATGTATAATTTAACTTACATTATTCTCAAGTATAATTATACGTTAAAAAATGTAAATTTACCTTATACCAAGATAAACGATAATCTTTTAACTAAACAAAAAATACGTTTATATAATTATTAATCACCTTTTATAATATTGTTCAATAAATTCAAATTTGAAGATATCATCTTTTAAATAAAATGCTGAAAAAAAACTCTCACTTGGCTCGACTAAAAAGTAAACGTTTATCTTGCATTTTTTTCTTTCTTTTTTTTTTAATGTCGATCCAAAATATAACCGTCTACTATTG